GCAGGAACTCAATTGCGCGACAGTGTTTCCATGCTATTCCGGTTCCACATCTTATTCTGCGTCATACGTTGTTCTTGAAGTTTCAGATAATTATTTGTCAAAAAAAGTGAATCATAGTCTTCGATTTTCCATTCCTCATCTTAAGTCTTCACAATTTGTTCCTCTGTAACAGTGGGTGTTCAGTCTCAAGACACGTGAAAATTTTTCGTTCGATTAATGTGTTTCGTGTTGATTCAGCGCCTTTTGGTCAGATTGCGATATTTTAGAAGTAACACAACCCAAGAGCATTATTTGCAAAAGTCACGGCTTGCTTAGCTCAAGACTGACCTTTCACTGATTCTCACTTATGTATATGACTCAGCTCAGGCTGACTAACGCTTACTTGTGACTCAGCAACGATTGCTGTGAATGAAGCTCACTATCACACCGATCCTGACTCAATCACTATCACATTTTGTTTACGTGAAGGCGATACTTTTCACAAATTTGACGAAAATATTCGCGTGTACGTTGCAATTTCAGCTGCAGTTCTGTTGTGATCAATCACTTGATCAAATTGCAGATGGTGTTAGACGATGCATGGAATCGCACGGTGCAAACGTCTGGTCATGCTGGAATCCTGCCCGTTCATATCGCAACACTTTTGTTGAGCGTTACCAATTGCCTTCTGAACGGATTCATTTGTGTTTCATTTCACTGTAATCGGATTCTGTTTAGTAAATGTCGCTTACACATATTTCTCGCATTTGCATTGACAAATGCTCTTTCAGGTTCGTGCTTTTCATCAATGATTCCGTCCTTGAACACTTGCAGTTTAATTATATAGTGATGACCGTTATACAGATTCGATTTTTCGAACTTCCACGTCCATTTCAAGAGCCCACAGAGTGGTTACCTTCGCTGAGTGAGGCGAATTTTTGGATTATCCCAAAAATCTTTTCTCCAAACACATATATTCCTTAAACAGGTATTACTCTAGCGTGAACCGAGAAAATTATTCAATAATTTTCCGACAAATAGCAATTGACGTGGCAAAAAGACGCAGTATTCTGATGGTGAAGCTCTCTCTGATTCAGGGTTCTTCACCATACCAACGAGCATAAACCTCTTTGTACATAACAATTTGAACTGCCCTAGATGGACCATCATTCTTGGCTCAGGTGAGCGTTGAGGCTTTTTTGTGTCTTATTACTCGTTTTAGAAACTTCGATGTTTGATGCGGTCAATTTTTCTTTGGCGAATGATTCGTTGAATAACGTCACTGAAAACAATTGCACATGTTCGAAACCCACGCAGTTTTGTGCTAAAATTAAAAATTAATGAGCAGTTGCAAAATGAAAATTTTCTTCAAGAGGACTCTCAAGTGCAGCAGTCTAATTACGAGCAATCTTCTGCTTGTTCGCTTCTTCAGCATCGTCTTTTTTATAGCTAAATTCGAACGTGACAAGTATTGTAAAAGCCCTTTATGAATGAATGAGTATATTAAAAAAATGGAAGTTTGATTTTTGCCAATCCACTTCAACATTCCATCCTGCAAACATTTTTGCGCTGAAAGTTCGCAATTATCGGTCGGCGTAACTGAAAGTGAGGGAGTTGAAATTCTGAAAATTCGAATGAAACTGATTTAATTAGTGATGACTGCGTTCGTGCCACTTCACAATTTCCAAGTATTGCTGTTGCATTCCGCAGAAAAATTGCTCTCATTCCGTGAAAAGGATAATTCAATTTTTCCAGAAGAGAAGGTGGCAACTTAATATTGTCATTCAGCTTATACCAGAGGCCCCCCTGGGGGAATGGGGAGATTACTCATTCTTTGAATTTGGGGATGTCAGGGTGTATTGCATGGGATCGGGAAATCAGTCCTCATGTTATGCGTCGAAATAGTGAATTACTGCAGCGGAAGACGGGAGGGAGTAATGACGGTCTGCCATACTATCGAAGGGAGTAATGGAACATCCAAGCGTGCAGACCACTGGTCTATACAGTCAATCCTTTGTTGCTATAATTGAAATTCATTATGAATGTCAAATAATCACTAAAATCTAGCACCAGTGGCACACAGGCATTCTCCAATATTAGAGTCAGTTCAGTCAAACCTGCAGACGCCAATGTTGTAAAATCATGAGTCCTCCTATCGAATAACTGGTTCATGTATGATCAGAAGTTTTTTAAATGAATTACGTCTTTAAGTGTCTCAAAAATTCAATGTTCTAAAAGCTTGAATCACTGAAAGTAGCGCCCACTTGAAGACCTCACAAATAATTTTTCGAAAACTGATCAGGTCAACAGATCACAGTAACTCACTCACAAAAAAAGTGTTTATTGATATGAAGTTGAAATACCAGAGGTATTATTAGAGATTTGGAACGAATTTGCTGAATATTGAAGAACAATATTATGACTTATCGAATGTCTTTCTCGAAATCAGAGGACTCCCTGCGAAATCTAACAATATTTTTGACTTGAAGAATAACGATACAGACCTTAACTACATCATGTTCATTCACCTACCTCCTTCCAGACAGCTCATAGATCCATTCATATTTGTCGCATTTGCATACAATTTCGCAAGAACCCAAACTTATTCCTATAGAATAACTGATAGCTGTAACTCAAAGCATCCTTTCCCATATGTCTCAAAAATACCCCATCTAGGAAATCAGATTCATATCAAAAATCTGACTAATTCAGCATGAACGGTAAATAATATATATTTTGAATTAACTTCTGTCTTGATTTTCTACTTTCCTTAAATTTATTACTGTTTCATTGTTTGATTCAATTCTATTCCACTGATTGATATATTCCTTTAAAGGTTGAAAATTCATGCTGTTAATGTGTAATATTCTGATTTTAATTATTGTAGCAACCGGAGCAGTCATAGTGCTGTCCTTTTTATTCCATTTCTTGAGCTAATAAATGATCAGTGATGACATTCGCAGCATTCGAAATCGCTCTGGATCGAATGCGAAAATTGTTGACGATGACAATAGCGATTGAACGATTGTACGCGGTTTATTTACCATCCCAGTACTATCTCATGCACCATATTGATTTCGCTCGACGATGTTGCTTGGTGTCTACGTTATGGGGCTGTTTTGATGCGATCTTCATGATCGTTGAGGATGACCTGTTTCAGGTTGGTGCTCATTTGCTGAAGTTTTTGAAGTCAGACCCCTGATAGTTTCTGATTTTTTCCCATAAAATCTCAGAGGTCACATCCAAAAGCTGCCCACATCTCAGTGTTAATCTTCTTGGTTTTCAGCCTTAGCGAATGCTGAGCCATATATGACCTGCTTCAAAAGCAGTTTGGTCTGAATAATCTGAGAAGATTTCGTTTTTGACTAAATTCTCTGAATCAATTTGCAGATACGTATGCATTGCGTTACCACATCATCATCAGGGCCAATCTTTCACACGTATTTTTTGATTTCAAGTATCACGTTCGGTGTATTGCTGTTATTTCTTTACGTATTGTTTATTGTTAAACTGTGTGTAATCTCCGAAACAAATGCCAATCTTCATAATCACATCCAAGCGTATGCTGTTAAATCCAATTATCGGCAGGTATGTAAATTTGCTTTATTCTGCTCACATCCTCATTCCAATTCCCAAATCGAAATTTTAATTGCACGGTCTCGCTTTTCTTTCAAATACGATATATTTCTAGCATTTTCGCGTTAGAACAATGTATCTTATTATCCATGTGACTGAGAATCTCATGATAATCGACTAACACATTTTATGTCAGTAATTTTATAAAGTTCCATTTCCGAACAGATTGATTTTGGGTAAAATGATCCTCGTTGGTGATAGTTCGTGTGATCTCAATCAGTGAGATTCTTTTCTGCCTGGTTGAGTTTCAATGCAAATTTTATTTTCAGGCTAATTCGTTAGCAGCCATGATTGTATTGTCGGTTTTGTTGTTTTCCGTTGTGCCTTGTGCTCTCTATTCTTATGATCTTATTGTAGATAAAGTGAGTTTCATTCATTTCAAGTATTATTTCCGTCCTGAAGAACGAGTTCTTCGGATGAGATATTCAATTCGATATCTTAATGAGCACCCAGAAGATATCGAATCTGCATTTTGCTTTATCGAAAAATACAGATTCATGATCAGATCTATTCTTCCATAGAAGCTGCACATCTTATCGAGTGCCTTCTTGGAATTTGGTATTTCAATAATCTAGCTTCTAACAAGTATTTAGTATTCTGGTACTTGAAAACAAGCATACACTTGTTGGGTAGGAATCTCTTCATGAGTATTCACATGTGCAGGAGCACGGAAGAAACTTTGAAGTTATGCTGGACCTACGATATTCAAAAGTCGAATTTTTTAGCGGAGGTTTCCAATTTTACACCAACGGATCATGAACAGTCGGAAATTATGCAGATTAAAAAGTGAGGAAATAATTCAACGTGTGTGATATAGATGGGACTTTATCTTTATCGTGATAACCTTATTGATGTAATGAACATGAAGGATTTGAATCTTGTAACGAAGGAACCTCACTGTAGTTCTAATGCCAAATGGAGAAGCTTTCTGATTGATTGGGGTGTTTCTGAGATGCTCTGGAATGTATCGTTTCCTCTTCGTTAAGCAATTCAGCAGGACGACGTGTAATCGCAAACGTTTATTTAGATTGTTTTCATGGAAGCCGGACCAGTGATAACAATGGGCTATCATATGTATGGATGCAGCAGTTTTTTCATTTACAGCTGGCAACATAGAGACATTAGGCGAGCAATAATGTACGCTTCCTTGTTTTATCATATCTCAGCCCAGTTTCATGCACAGATATCTGTTTGATAATCAATGAACGCACCAATCCTCACAGTAGCCTAATCGCTCTGTGACCGGCCAATCTGCCTAAAGACATTCAGCCTAACGACAGTTTGCCTAAAGACACATTGCCGAACGAACAGCTTGCCTAACTTATGGTTTTTCAATGGATATTTCGCCTAATAGGCAAACTCTACCTTAGGCAACTTGACCGTCAGGCAAACTGTCCGTTAGGCAATATGTCTTTAGTCGAACTGTCGTTAGGCTAAATGTCTTTAGGCAGATTGATCGGGTACTAATCGTCCAGTTTCACCTATCTAAATATGCCATTCGCATCTTTCCAAGATCCAGCAGTTATGATTGCCAATGCTTTTTTTCAGCCGAACTGGAAGACGATCGATAAGATGCGACTGGAGTGAGCCGCAGAGCTTCAGGTCAGCTATAATAAACTCGAATAAAAGCGCACAGAGGAACGTTGTTGTTGTCAAT